CGGTCGCGCTATGGACGATCGGGTGACAGGAACGGGTGATTTGGGAAGCTCCAGGTTCAAACTGGCAATCCCCGAAAATAACATCAATACAAATCCGAAGGATCTCAGGAGCGCACAACCGCCATCTGCCGCGCCCCGTAACATTCTCTCTGGGTCTCACCTCAACGTTCTGGCCGTACTCGCTGACTTCGAACATGATCCCCACTACGAGCAACTCGTCGTCGGTGTTCTCCTTGAGGTGAACCAGGTGGATCTCCGCCGCGTATTCTGCGCCACCGAGCTGAGTGGATAGGATCGAGCAAAAGGACACGTCAGAGAACAGCAACAACACACTTGCGCCGACCATGATGTGATGTTATCAGATGCGTCGAGTCACGAAACGCCGTCTCTCGATTCGATCGTCGCCGAAATAGTCGGCGCAGAATCGCAACTACGTGAGGGTTAACTTTTGAGTACTACCGTAGTCTGAAGGTTCTTGCCTACAAGTAGGTGGACACAGGTCCACAAGCGGGACGCGGGCTCTGACGGGACCCAAAAGGCCAAGCAAAGAAGACGCCACCATTTCAATGGTCGTGTAGTTCTTCATACGCCACGCCTGCGAATCAAGGGCGAACTGCAGCTGCTGCGGAAGATTGTCTCTTCCCGGGTGCTTCAAAGGGTGTATCATCCACCAGCCTCCGGTGCGATTGGACGGCAACACGAGATACGCCGCTTCAGCACTCACCACGTGCTCGGAGGGCGAGTGGATATGGAACTGGAGAAGGTTGTAGGTCTCGCCCTGGTACTGGAGGTAGGGCGCAGTGGTGCACCCGGAGAAGTCAACCTGGAACAACGCAAGAAGGTCGACAAGCCAACAAGAAAAAAAAGTACACATGGGCGTTGTGGCTGAGAAGCCAAGGGCTGAAATCGCTTCAACAAAGAAAAAACAAAGCAAGCCGCAAACAACGGTTCCCAGTGACCAAATTATTCAAAGACGCCACGCCGTGAGGGTTTCCAAGGGACTTAACTTGTTCGCTGTACGAGCACACCAGATGGCAATAACTCAACCCTGGATCTAGTTGGACGTGCCGAAGGTACGCACACCAATGATATCACCCACCCTCCCTCTTTCATTTCACCTGCCACACGGCGAAGTCCGACTGAAAGACCAACTCGGTCGAGTTGCACGCGCTAGGGAAGAACGCGATGGCCTGCTCCTGCATCTGTAATTCCGAGGGGACGGTAACGGGGTCGGTCAGTGCTTCCAAGAGTTAATCCACGATGGTAGAAACGACTCGGGAGATGAGGCGGATTCCACGCACCCCTCCGCGCGGGGACCTCCCGAACGCGAAGCTGGAAATTTCGCACGGAGACGAGACGTTCTCCGGATTATAGAGGCTGTACATACGATGCAGCTAGCGACAAACCAACATCAGGTTGACCGCGCCACACACCGGTGCATTTCTTCGTTTTGCGTGCTGAACATCGAAATGCTGCCCGCCTTCCAACATCATCAACATGTTTCACCCTACTGATGAGTTGTTGCCACGACAGTAATCTATGCATGTAATTCAACACCACTCACGGTAGCCGTGCCCATGACGTCTGCGGCGATGTTGATTGGCGTCTGCTTCGTCCCTGCGCAGTCGGGGTATCCCAAGTACCAGTCGCTGCACGTCGGTCCACCGGATTAGGAAAAACACGAACGGGGATCACGTGGGGTAAGGGAAAGAAATCATAGACACGCGAACGATATTGTTGCGGCAACGGGACCGGCGAGGAAAACACGAAATACAGGCGCTCAATCTCCGCCAGGCGTGTACTGCTGTTTACGACTAGTGCATAATCGCATCACGAGAGCAGCGGAGACGTGTGATGACAATATGACAACGTCACTATCTGCAGTCAAAAGCGCAAACTATGGCACAACAAATGCTGGAATAATTTTAGTAGGTCATTTTCGCCGTCGCACCGAAGTGCACCCTGAGGTCTCGGGAGTTCAGCTTAGCGTCAAGCCCGATACATGACAACATTCTCCAGGGCATGGGCAGGACGACTGTCTTGAGGAAAGCAGCACTCAACCAACAGTGTAGGACAAATAAAGATCGCACGGGAGGAAAGCAACAATCACTGACAATCTAGGATTCGGACATCGAAAAAAATAGAACGCCAAGGGCAGAAACAACAGAAACTGTTACTTACTCTGGGCCGTACGGCTCTTCCCCGACGACTCCCGTCGCTCGGTAAGTCCATTCCGCGGCAGCTACGTCTGATCGCGTACAGGGAATGTTCATGCAACGCACGAACGATACGGCAAGCATAGGGTCACGGTCACTGCCTAGAGAACAGTGCGAATACCTTGTGCTAGGGATTAACACCCCTCTGGACGTCCACGAAAACAACGCTGCAGAGGGGAGATTCACGCCCCACCGTACAAGCTTTCGAGAAACAACGTCGCCAGCCGCCATCACCCCGCGACACTCTCACGACAAACGGATGTCCACAGTGAAACAACGGCGAGGAATTTCGCGATGCCCATAGCAACAAAAACGAAGTACACACCACACGCGAGACCAAGAAACAACAACAACAACTGCGAACAATAACCAACATAAAAAGGTTGTCAACGCCAAACAACTATTGTAGTAAGAACAGGACAAACGAGCAGGACAAACAGCACAAACTGCTGTCAGTAAGAAACATCACTACTCTGGAAAGGCAACACTACTCGTCGAGAGAGACGCGCATGCTCGTCCGCATATGAGCGGGCAGCCTTCCAGTGTTTGTATTGATGGGTCCTACAGTATGTGTGTACACGCAGCGACCAATCGGCTCGTTCCGGCGCTCGCAAGCCCTACCGTCGGTCTCGGCGAGGTTGCGTAGCTGCCGCGACGGACCGGGAAAAGGTTTGATCCAAGGCGTCGGTTACACGGTACACGCCGTTGCACGTGTTTGCCGGCCAGGGAAAAAAAAAATCGTTCCGGATTTGGAGAGAGCGTTCGATCCCAGTTCCAGACCCCCCCAGAGAAGATATCGAGAGGAACACAAGCAGGCGGAAAGGGCGTCTCGAAAGTTAGTCCCACTAGTTTTGAACGAGTGGCAGCCACGGCCGCAGCAGGTCGGAGCGAGAACGTGCTGGCGAGACAAATAAAAACGTGAATACATGAATGGGAAACTTCAAGTTATTTGGTTGTCATGTACCACACGTACGTATGTTATCCCACCGGTTCTACGTGTGCTGGAAAGTGAGTAGACTACATCTCGAACGGGTAGTCTTTCCTGTGTGTATTTATTTTTCCTAATACCACACGTAGCATAGACATCCCACTGGTGTTGCCGATTCAAAGTATTGGTTGGTGCCGCGTCCGCACTGTCCCTGGGATAAAAAAATACCCTTGTTCGAAACGAAAGTGTCGCGGTTTCAACGGCCACGCTAAACACGACGGGGCATTCAACATGCAGAAAACACGTGGGGTCGGCACATCAAAAGCCTTGTCTGTGCTACCCACGCAAACCTCTATTTGCTCTTGAACACATACGCATGCTGGTTTGTTATCACTGTGCGAAGGGCGAAGGTCTTGGAAAATTTCATCTCCTCTTACCCGGAGCCCTTCAGTAGAGGCGCCAGCCACCAACGGCAAGCGGAGAAATCACCGATTTCGCGAGGAGTCCGGAACGCACCGTATGCGCGTGAGTGGGAAACAAGAAAGCAGAAGGGGAGCCGAAAGGTTAGGGAAGAAAACCCGCATATAGATGTTGGAACAAAAAAAAATGTGCGTATGCACCGCCGTCCTGTATGAACATATCCGAGTTCCACGTACAAGTATGCTATGCATTCGGATACGCATCAAGGGACCTGAAGTGAACAACGAAACGATCCCGCAGGCCATGAAACGACCCCGCAGCCCACGTATGCCTCGGAGCACGTGCTTAACGTAGCAGCTCTCGCTCGTACGTACGATGATACCAATGCATACGGCACTTGAGCAGAGAATGGGCCATGTGTCCGTGTTGACCTCACCGGGCGGATATAAGTTCTACGGACAGGCCAACGTGGGCTACAGCCAGCGGGAATTTGGAAGATTCTCGGGGTTGAACCGAAAATAAAACATCAGCCACATGACGCTTTCGTCCGCCGTGAGCGTTATAGGAACGACGACTGCCACACACGAGCTCACCTCCCTTCTCTTGGATCTTGCGGCCGCTCTGAATGATGCGTGGCGATACGTCGGGTGGCATGGAAGAGGCATGAACGCATCCCGAGAACATAAAGAGGCACCACCCATACGCATACGTAAGCATCCCGCATGGCATGAAAACAGCAGCAGCAGCAGCAGCAGCAGCAGTGGGGCACGGTTGAGGATTGGGCGAGGGCAAGACGTAGACATCGCGGCTCGGATCCAGAGATGCGTGGCAGGGTAGACACTGGGAAGGAAGGCGGCAAGAACCCAGACAGGTCATGAGGGGTTCGCGAGTCCGCGACAACAATGTTGGCGACAACAATGTTGGGGCGTTCGGGTTAGTTTGAGATTTGAGCTACAAAAATGGATAGATGCGTGTCGGCTCCAAGCTCAACAGCCGACGACGCTGTAGCGCGATAATCTCACCGTCTCCAATACCCATGAGGGGTAGTGTTCCTTCACCGCTACCAGTACACGAGCTGAGACACGCGACCACAGAATCGCTGAAGAGCTCCGAGACAAGTAACGACATGCTTGCATACGTATGCCTCAACATGTCGATTGGGGGCAGGGATACGTGCGGTTCTGTACCACACAGCAGCAGGTCACCATCTTGCCACTTACCGCCTGTGCTGCAAGGGCGAGCACCAGTAGAGACGAAGTCACTTGCGCGAAGGAAGGCATGGTGTCTGATGTGTAGTGTGGAGAAGCGAGGAAAGAGAGCAGGAGTGGTAGTGAAGTGTTGTGGGAGGTGGGGTACGAGGGGGGATGCACCAACAAATGTGACCAGTCGTCGGAGATTCTCCTGAAAGATTCAATTTCGTAGATTCCCCGTTTGTATCATGTATCTACTTCATACAACTCAAAACCAACGTCATCGTAGATCGTACATCGTACACGCGTGCGTGGCCACGCGGTTGAACCGTGAGATCCGTCCGAGGAGGCCCGGAACACCGACCAGACGTGCGCGTACCCAGCAGGAAACATCGCTGTAGTGTATCTATACTTCCTGCCCGCGTATCTCTGATGTTCCAGTTCCACCTTGTAGTTTCGCGATCGGTCACAAATGAATCGTGGCTCCGTGGCTGAGTTCTCGTGAAAAGTGAAGACCCTGCTGTCATCATGCTCGCTGGATGATAGGTGTTCGCTTCGCTGCCGTGTGGCCCGACCAACCACACGAGGTGAGAGAGAGAACAAATATCACATGCCGTCATGCGAAAAGGGGTGCAGTTAGCACCAACACGGGTAGTTGCTCAAGAAGGAGGACCCGGTTCCCAAGGTACCCGTCAATCGACTTTTTTTTTCCGATATATGACCCAACGAATCCATCTCTACGTAAGAGAAGAGTGTACGATAGACTAGCAATGAATCCATAGCGTCAGCGAACGCTACCCAATTGTACATGGTACATTTTACTCCCTCTGCTTCCGCATGTTGTTCATCCCTGCCTGCCTGCCTGGTTGTTTTTTCCTCTTCGCATGTCCAACTAAAGTATCCGTCTGCAGCACACTGGTTCGGTACGTCGGTTGGTTGTTGTGACCTTTTCTTCATTACGTTGCCTACGGTTTGTGTCATCAGTCCTTAAATTTGTCTGTGACACCTCTGCGAATTACTACAAGGTGCCCTGGCTCCAAAAGGACCCACTTCCCAACACCAACTATCGAATTAAGGTGTCCTGGCACCAAAAGAACCTGCTTCCCGATCGGTACACCTTCTGCTTTGATTGTACTTCGATTCTGACAAAAATGCGGTCGTTTTTATGGTCCGTCCGGGACGTCCGCGATCCACTTTGTTTGCCCCCTGTATGTTCTTTGGTGCACTTTCCTCCTTTTCTCGGGGTAGCGGTGGTTGTTCAAAATTTCAAAAACCCTCCAGACCGCTCGCCCCGGTGGTTTAGTGGTATCCTCGTAATCCGCTAGACTAGTTGCAGAGGTCGTGAGTTCGAACCTCCATGGGGTGAAATAACTAGGAAATGTGCGGGTGAAAGCGAAATATGGCTGACAAGCTCTCGTGAGTACCAAACTTCGACGTTAGCATCGTTGACGAGGGAAAGGGACGGCTGGACCCTTCTCGCGATAAAAATAAAATTCAGCACGCACCGCAGGAGGAAGGGGGGGCATGAAAAGAAATATAAGGCCAATTGTCATGGAAGAATTCCAAATTTGGAATCCTCCGCCCTGGGAAAACAAATTCCAACGCCGAAATTCCAATTTGGTATTCTGTGCCAACCAAGTTATGGGGAAATAGGAATCCGGAGCGTTGGGGGGGTAGATTACGATGCACGGAGCGGAGAATTCAAAAATGGGCGCGATTCTATGTACCGCACTCCCAGCAGACCATCCTTTCCCTGCGGGCGGGCGTGCGTGCGTACCATCCGCAACGAAACACCGCGAGCATGGCCAACTTGCCCCCTGTTCTGAGCGAGTGCGAGCCAATTGAGTCATGGGGGGCCGATCAGCCACGACAGGAGATAGTTTGGTCGTGGAATCGATTCGTTGCCATGGGACCGAGAGGCGGGGCCTGGACGCATCAGCAACGCCGCCTGCTGCAAAACCCGGCCGCGTACTACGCCAACCAGTCTGTGAGGGACAAGGATGACATGCAGGCGCCTGACATGCATGCGCATGCTGCAAACTGCATGAGGACGTTCGCGGCTCCTGGGATTATACTGTTCTTGACCCAATCGTGCGGATTCAGCATGCCTCATGGTCTCGACGCAGGAGAGCTCGGGAAGGTCTCCGCCAACGACGGTGAGTAGCTTTAGCTTAGGGAGCGTTGGCACTATACATATCCCTCTATTGTTCAATTGTGTAGGACACCACCTCGGTGCCTACATGTAGTAAGGATAGGCGCTGGCTGTCGACTCGGAGCACTCTGTAGTATGTTCTCGCCGATTTGCCCCCGCTCCGGCGGCGGTGTGGCGGCAAACGGCGGCGGCGGTGGCAACGGCGGCGTCCGCTATTTCACCTGTAGTTCCCGCGTGAGATGACGCCGTATGTGTGCGGTAGCGTCAAGAAACAAACATCCGCGCAGAAAAACTGGCATCAGATACGCATGGGTGACATGAAATATATACATACCAGGTACATTTTTTTTGTGTTTGTCGGCGGCCGCGGCGACGGTGGCGGCGGCGGTCTGGAAACCACCTGTTCGTACTGCTGTAGACGGCCACCTGAGGTGACGCCGTGCGTGTGCCAAAAGCACCAAGAAAGTAACGTCCGTGGGGAAAACCTGCCGAGAGAAACGGACGGCATGGGTCACATGCTATGAGACCTCCCTTTGTGTGTGTAAGTATGTCGCCGCCGCCGCCGCCGCCGCCATCGCCGCCGCGAACGGTCTGGAAGCCATCTGTATGTACGTACTGCTGTAGACGGCCACCTGAGGTGACGCCGTGCGTGTGCCGGTAGCACCAAGAACCAAACCTCCGCGGGGAAAACTGCCATCGTAAACGGCATGGCCAACACGCTTTTTGAGACCTCCCTCTTTGTGTGTATGTATGTCGCCGTCGCCACCGCCGCCGTCGCCGGCGCGAACGGTCTGGAGCCATCGGTATGTACGTACTGCTGTAGGTGGCCACCTGAGGTGACGCCGTGCGTGTGCCGGTAGCGTCAAGAAACAAGCCTCCACGGGAAAACTGCCGTCAGATACGGAAAGTGTAGCACATGCGTTTCAATCCTCCCTCTTCCCTTGATGTCCCTCTTCACTCCTCACATCTGCCTCTCTTCGCCACCTGTGTCTCTGTGTCTGCCCGCTGTTTTCGTACGCAGCGAAGCACAGCCTCTTTGATCCGAACTTGAACAAGTGTTGAATGCGGGGTCAGGAGCAGCGGCGCGAACTGAAGAAGTACACGGTGCACTACAACAGGTACGTTAAACATCCGAGGGTTTTGTTTGTTCCCGACCTGTCTTTTTGGACGAGGAAGACAATGAGCGACGTGATCGAGCGGGGTCGGCGCACGCACTACTGTAGTTGAGGGTACACGTGCCCGACATTGGTTATATCCCGCGTTACCGGTTCCTGGTTGAAATGCCAATTAAAACCTTGGGCGACGTTGGTGGTGTAGTTCACAATCCGGGGGCATGCTCGTATTGCTCAGGAGCCACGGTCGACGTTGTGGTGTTTTTTTTTAGAGTTTTTGTTCGTCCAAAAATCGGGGAGGTTGGTGTATTGCACGGGACAGCACCGCGCTATGGTGTTAGTTGTACTTCAAGTGTATTTCTTTTTGTTGGCTACCTTTCAATGACGACATACGCCCTGTTAAATCTTGGTCTGGGTTCTCGGCTGCATCTGTCTTTGTTCGCGAGGTAGGTTTGGAGGCACCTCCTCATTGTACGCAGCGCCCCCCTGTGTCCTCGTCGTCGGTTGTACACACATGTGCAGCGCGACAAACGAACAGGGGCAGCCGAGATCTGGAGAACAGAACGGGGACGTGATGATGGAGGTCATCGAAAAGGTGTGGGAGGACCAGGTCAAAGATGCTGCCAACAGGAAGATCAAAGAGGTCGAAAAAAAACGGAGGGAGGCGCTGCAGAAGAAGCGCCAGACCCAAAACCCGAGATTAGCCGAGATGATCACGATCCCGACTATCCCGAACCGTGACGACCTCCTCAACAAGGAGCTACCCGAGAACTTTCTCCCTCCGTACTGGTTTACGTGGCTGTTGTACGGACCGCTGGCCGCAAACCCGGACGAGGACGTATCGTTCACGGCCTCCAACGGCCCTGACGTTCAAGGGGTGGGTGGCGGAGGCCTCAGCGACGACGACGACGAGGACTACTACTACTACTACGACGACTTCGACTGCGGCGGCGGCGGCGGTGGCGGCAGCAGCAGCAGCAGCGGCGGCGGCGGCGGCGGCGGCAGCAGCAGCAGCAGCGGCAGCAGCGGCGGCGGTGGCGGCGGCGGATTTGAAGACGGCGAATCATCTGCGGGGAATAACGCGTCTGCCTCGAGCTCTGGGGAGGGAAACCCCAGCAAGTCCAGCGGCGACACCGGCGAGGGCAAGCGGCGAAAGCTTGCAACGACTAAGGCGGCAAAAATGAAGGGAAAGAAAAGGGCCAACAGTAGTGGCGGGGCGTCTGGGGGAAGCAAGTCGGCAGTGAGGAGCAAGCACGCCATGAAGGTGTTGTCGAGTGCCACCGAGGTCCTCGGTAGGAGGGCCACGAAGGAGAGGGATCGCGAGGAGAAGAAGAAAGCTCGGGGCGAGGCAGCAGGGATGGCGGAACAGCTTAAGATTTCCCGAGAGAGCTCCGCTGCTCTGCTGAAGGTGACGCAGCAGGTAGCACTGATTTCTGGTACCCTGGAACAGGCGGCGAAGGCAGACCAGAGGAAGGATAGGCTTCTGGAGCTGGACACGATGGAGAAACTGTATCGGCAGATCGGCCAGAATGACAAGGCGGACGCGGCTGTTGCGGAAAGGCTGGCTATATTGGAGTCGCCGATGGCACCGGTTTTTGGTCGTAGCGGTACCGGTGCTGCGGGAGTCACCACCTCTGGGGGCGTGGGCATGGCGGAAGGCGTAGATGGCGGCGCCGGTGGCGGTGAACAGAGCGACACCGTTGACGTGGATTTTACCGGATGCACGAACGGCAACCGGAGTGACAACGCGGTCTCCGACGAGGCTGCCTCCTTGCGGGCAGGCGCAGGTCAAGTCGCCCGCAACCATGCCAGGGCTACAGGAGGTCCGGAATCGAAGGCTACGACGGGTGCTGCTGCAAAGTACTACGCCTCACTCCGGACTTCGCCTAGCAGACCCGCCGCCGACGTTTGGGAGGTGAACAGTTCGGGTAGTGACGCGGATGCGGGGGGCAACCAGCTTGGAATGGACGTCGACGGCGGTCGGGGTGCTCGCGGAGACGCTTCCGGCGGCAGTGCCGGCAGGGGCTTTGGGGGGGGCGGCGAGGGAGTGGGCGGTGGAGGCGGGCCGAAAAAACCGCAATGCGACAAACACCGTGTTCCGTGCAAACTCATGAAGGTTAAAGTGAGTATAACGTATGATTGTTGGGTGTGGTGATACTGGGGTACCGCGTAGGGTGGTGGCACTCATGTTGGTTCATGACCGGGCTCGGCCTAATGAGTTCTTGGTTAATTGTTCGTCGGGGGCGTTCGGTGTACCTCCAATCGAAGAGCCCAACTAACCTCGCCGCGTATACTTCCCTCCCCCGTCCTGACGAAAAAACGCACACTCCAGGGGAAAACATTTTGGGAGTGCGGCTTGGACGACGTCTTCGAAATGTGCGACTACTTCGAGGCTGCTGACGGCGTGTCGGTGGATGGCGAGTTCGGGGGGGCTTCGGAAGCTTCAGCGGGTGCCACTGCTGCCGCCGCGAAGGACACACGCGGCGGGTCTTCCGTGGGCAGCGCCGGCAGTGGCTTTGGGGGTGGTGGCGAGGGCGCGGGCGCTGGAGGCGGGCCGAAACCACCGCAATGCAAGAAACACGGCATCCCGTGTAACATATTGCAGTGTGAAGTGAGTACAATAATGTATGGCGTTTGTGTGTGGTGATATATGGGGTACCGCGCAGGTTGGTGGTGCTCATGATGCGATGTGTTGCTCCTTCATCACAGATCCCGGCCTATCAGTTTTTGGTTAGTTCGTATTGGGTTTTCGGGTGTATCGCAATTGGAAAAGCCCCACTTACCTTGCCTCACGGACCTCCGCCCTCCCGAAATACCGCACACCCCAGGGCGGCAACTATTGGGAGTGCGGCATGGGCAAAATCGAGGAAATGTGCGACCACTTCGAGCCTGCGCACGGCGTCACGGTGGGTGGCGGTTCCGGTGGGGCTGCGCCTGCTGCCGAGGGTACCGCTCGTGCCGCCGCGAACGGTGGTGGAGGAGTGGCTTCCCTGGGCGCCGGCGCCGGCGGCATGGGGGGGCTTCATGGAGCGTCGGCCGCTGGGGGTGTTGCTGACGACCCGGGTGCCCACGCAGTAAATGCTAGGAACATTGCTATGCAAGCCTTGACCCACCAATTCCCCAACAGTGGCCAGGTGGCGGGTGCAGCTGCGGCATTCATCCAAGCTCACATGAACGAAAGGTCAGCCACGTGAGACTACGTTGACCGTGTCAACACCAACACCGACCATTTGTGTGCGAATCGTGTGCATTTTTTTTTCCGGGGTTGCTTTTCGGGGGGCTAAACCGGCTGTTGCCCCGGTGATTTCGGTGTCGTGTTGTGTACGTCGTGCCGCGTTGGGTGCGTTGCTCGCCGCGCTCCTTGTGTTAGCCTTCCCCTGTTGCCCTTTTTCTTGTTTGTTTGTTTCCCGTAAACAGCGGCTTCGATTTACACGTATGCTGAGCGGGGTGTTCATCCATGACCATGAGTTAGGAGGTCGAGGAGAAGGAAGACAGCTCAAGAGTTTTTTCTTTGTTTGCGGTCAAACGGGGATGACTCCCAGTGCACAGATTTGCTCGTGGTCCAATTTTCGTCTCCCGCGTGGAGTGAGATTGTGCGGGAATGTTTCCTCTAATACCCGAATTGTTCGTCTTCTACCGACCTGTCGGGCGTGTTTCTTTAGTTTTAGGGGGATGGGTCAATAAGCACTTGCTGCCTAAATTTTCTCAGGGGGAGAGGGATCCCCTTCTTTCCTAACTCTGGGGCACTGCTGTCCCGACGATTTCGCATAATACCAAGTAGGAACGGCATCTCCGGTATTTCTTTTTGTTCGGCTTGGATATTTAGCCTGTGGAATATCAACCCTCGAGCATCCCTATGAAACTCCCGAGCACGTCGTACGGGCGGGGGGGTCGCGAGGTATGGAGTCTTTCCCACTGGTGTCATTGATATGGTCTGGCGAACGAAGCATTTTGTCCACGTTCCATGTCGATGTTTCCTGAGATTAATCACAGGGAAAGGCGGGTGGAGGAATTTATGTAGCGGAATTGATATCGCCATATCGATTATACAGTATCCGCGTGATGATTTTCATTTGGGGGTTCAGCAGATATCCGCGTGATGATTCCCGTTTTTGGCTTGGTGTTGCGCGTGACGAGACGCCATAGAGTCATGGTACGGGGACCTCGGTATGGCCGCATTTCGTGAGAGGGTTTTTATACCAAGGAAAATATACTCGGCATTGGTTGACATAGTTTTTTTTGGGGACAGCGTAAGTAACTGTTTCGCGTAGAACAAGCTATCTTCGACGCTGCGTTCTTCATAGGAAAAGGTTGTGGATTTATTCGCGTGAAATGTTGACTAGCGAACTTCTCAAATCTCGGATGGGGGGCTGCCAGGTGTGTTATCGGGCACAATTAACAATCGGTAGATCCTTGCGGGTCAATTGAGTGTTGGAGGCTTCGTTTGTCATGTATGGGTGTACACTGCTGTCACACTCTCTTTCGCGAGGCTGCCGATCTTTCACTCTTAATCACAACTTCTTGCGCGTGACTTTGCCCATGCTCATTTTTCTCAGCGGCCGGCCTCCATGGGATGAAAATGCAAACAAACGAGAGATGGCACCTGGCCCTGCGATACGATTGTCACTGGGGGCACCCTCATGGCGGTGCAACCGTCTCTTGTTTCGCGTACGAAAACCGTTGTAGGTACGGGCCAACACAGCAGTACCGGTGTTTCGCCACCCTGCACACAACATGACGTGCATGACAAGTTTTTACCTGCCGGACCACTAAACCACAAATTGTGCAGGTGCACGTTTCGTTTTTCGGTGTCGTGGCATGTACTGCTGTAGCTCTCTTTTCCAAAACATCCGTTGGAGCCTGTGGCCACACATTTGGGTACACTCGACCCCGCAAAAGAAATAAACAAAATTATTGTGCGCACGCGTCATGCGATGCTAACACAAACCGAACCGTGCTGAGTCTAATCGGGACACAAAAATAATGCTGCGAAAAACAAGCAATATAAAACAGTCCTCCGCCAGCAGAGCGAAGGAAACTCCGGCTACATAGCCTAGAGGCTTCCCGCACCCGTCAGAATAAAAAATAGGGTTAGTTGAAAGAAGGTGCAAGGATGGACCGAGAAAAATAATTCCATCGAGACACCGATGCCAATGCGCAAGACACGCCGACAGTTGCATGCGAAGGGCGAAGACGCGCAAGCCGCGGACGAGGGAAGCGAAAACAGGCTAGACACGAAAGAAAAAAAAAACATATCGAGATACGATTACGAGGAGACAACAACAATACGGCAAACGCAAGGTCCCAACAAGGCAACGCAAAAGGCAAAGGAAACTCCACGGAGCCTGTTGTCACACTTGGATACAGTCGCAACCGCAAAGAAAATAAACAAAACTATTATATACGCACGCGATATGATACTAAAACAATCTGAAACCCGATGGGGCTAACCCCTCGGGGCACAATAATAAAAATGGCGAAGAGCAAGCACACAAAAGACAGTCCTGCTGCAGAAGAGGGAAGAAAACTCCGCCTAAACTAGAGGCTGTTCCACACCCATCAAGCAAAAAGGTGCAAAGATGGACAGAGAAAGGAAAGTACACCGAGACACAAATGCCAAATCTGATGACAATACGCAAGAATACAGACAGTTGTAGTATGCTAAGTGCCAAGACGCGCAAGCCGCGGAAAGGGGAATCGAAAACAGGCCAGATACGAAATAAAAAAAGAGATCACATACGACGAGGAGACAACAACAACACGGCAAAGTATCAACAAGGCCCAGGCAAAGGCAAAGGCAAGACTTGGCAACAAGGACCAAAAACGAAAGATGACGATGCTGACTACGGAGGGGCGGAGAAGGACGTGGTCTTCAACGGGGGAAAAAAAAGTGCCACTAATTACAGCCGAAGGGGCGGACAACGCCTCCAACACGCCCCCCCGCCCCCCTACCTCCCCGCCATCAACATAGCACCATGTGACTTCCCACGGGTCATCACGACCTCTTCCACCCAACGGTCCCCTGTCCCCATCGGTAAGCGAAGTTGGTCACCAACTTCTGCCTCAATGCGTCGAAGCCGTCATCACACTCCACGACTGCATCCTCGTGCGTGGGCGCACTCATCCGCACTACAGGGTGCTCGATGTTTTTGTCGAGGTCGCCGTCCGCTCCGGCCCAGTCGCAGTCCGGCTCCAAGAGCTCGATCCCGTCGTAGGCGAGAAGCATGTTGTGCAGTATGATGCACGTGAAGAAGATGTTGTCGATCCTCTCTTTCTTCCTGTAGAGGAACTGCATCTTGCAGATCCTGAACCGCCCCTTGACGACGCCGAAGCAGCACTCCGAGTCCTTGCGGACGCTCTCGAGCTGTCTCTTGAACCCTGACTCGGCCTTGTTTGATGGCGCCCTGATCGGACTCTGGAGCTGCTTCCACTGAGCAAGGAGGGAGCCATGGCGGGTGGGCGGGCCGTGGGGATCATGTTAAGGGTACGACAATTGAGTCAAGCCTTGAAGACGCACATGGGGACCGCTGTTTATTACCGCAGAACAGCACATCAACCACCATCACATTCCGCCCTGACGACGACCGTGAGATTCCGAAATTTACACAAGGGGGGGTTCAGTCTCCCCCACCATCGTCACGGGGGGAAAGCCAACAGGTACACGAACTCGCTTACAAGCAGGCAGACAAGCACGTACGAAGACACGCTTCGGTGGAAGCATTGGCTGGCATCCAAATTGTCGGTTGTCAATTCACACTGCCGAACCGTTTTAACACTGACGTCTTGCGGGGACCGCGCAGACCCCTCTGGGCGTCTCTTTTTTTTTGGAGGCACCTTTGCATATACAGCGTCTGTCTGTCAATCCACCCAAAAAAAAAGCACCTGCCAGAGGGAGCAGCGACCAAACTACGGTATATAACGCAAAACTGCCGTAGCGAACGCGTGCAGTGATATACATGAAAACACATCCGAAATTGAACAAATGCAACCCCTGTCCGGTACCACAGCACGTTGGGGAAGCGACATGGGCCAAGATCTGTAGTTTTCAAGGCACAGCAGTAGCGACTCTCTGTTGTTTCGTCTCCTGTTCCTAAACGCTACTTAATGCTAGCTAACGGAACACCAAACCTTGCGCGCGCGCCGAGTGCAAAGAAAGACATTCTGCACTACAAATTCGGTGGAACACGAGCCCGCTCACGTTGTGATATCCGCCGTCCACTATCAACCATGGCCCTTTCTCTTTGATGTCCGCTCCGTCCTCGCCCTTCAGAGTGTACTCTACGTCCTTGTACCAGCCGTTTCGAACCGCCATCGCGAACTTGTCGAATTTGATGATGGTCTTGTCGTTCTGGGCGCCGGGGAAGCCCCGCGTACACGACAAAACACGCATGTCGTGGCTGACGGCAACATTGAACACGAGGGTAGCGTAGCCTTCCTTGCCAATGTGCGACGAGCGTTGGGAATAAGGACACAACGTCCACTCAATGTGCGTCCCATCCATCGACCCCATGGCGCCCGACATTCCAACCTCGTCATAGGTTTTCATGATGTCCTTCAGCTCGTCTTCATTCGGCATCCTCACCCATACCGGAAAAATCTCACACGCGAATCTCTCCGTGAACTTGTGGAACATGTGGTTCACCGTGGCCTCGCCCATGCCGGTGACCTCCGAGACATCGTCGAAATAGTTTCCTCTGCCCAGTATGCGCAGCACCGCCAAAACCTGTTCGAAAAAATCATCAGACAACGGCGGCCAGGGACACGATTCGTTTGTGGACTTCATCTTGTGTGATAGCCAGAGTCAACATAAATACGTCAACGGTACGGCGGTGTGTGTTTCAGTGCAAGTAGCGACGATAGATTTTCGTCCAGTTTAGGAGCAACTCTGATAGTGAGCGACGAGCAGCAGTAGCAGAGTTGATGTCCGACACTGGC